TCACCAAAACCCAGCAAGAAGTTATCTTTCCAAAGGCAATACTGACTGATTCTTGGCTGAGTCTTTAAAAAAAACCCCAAAGCAAATGTTGCAGCGAGTATCTGAGATGAGGTGAGACAGGCAGGGCACCAGGCTCGGAGGGACCGGAGCCCCGCTGGGCACGCCCCCTGCACAGGGCGTCTGTGCCTCTGCCAGCACTCGCCGGGCACACATGGGGGCCAAAGCCCATCAGTGCATTTCTGTGGTGACAGATACATTAATACTACGTCATTAACATTTCAACTCCTTGAAATCCCTCAATTTAATTGGAAGAAAACACATTTCTTGACCTCTGTTCAATCCAAAATAATATCTATCATTTTCATTAACAGGCAATACGATTGCATGTTGCACAACGCAACGGCATCAATCTGCATTACAGCAAGTCACCAGCAAATTAAGTACCACCGAGTTAGAATGTTCAGTAGCACACAAACACACCCACAATAAATTTAAAATGGTATTCTGCCACTCAATCAAAGAGTAGGAAAACACTAAAGGAAAAATACACTTTGGATTCCTACACTACATTCACATATATGGTGAGTAAGGTAACCACTTATATTGATGATAATGTAAAAGCTCTTTTCAGAATTACTACAAGTATTAGTTTCTGAAACTAGGAAAGACTGAGGTGAAAAAGAAATCAGAGAACAATGGTTTCCAACTACTTTGTCAAATAAGATTCATAAACACACTTGCCATCAAATACAAATATACGTATTTTGTACATAAAAAGCAAGGCTGTGTAATGTTTCCAAAGCACATAATGCTGACATAATGAGTTCAGTGTTGTCGGAACCGTCTTCTTACCTGCTTTAGTAGGAAGGCAGGACGGGAGCCCTCCTGAGCGGACTGTCTAGGTTACTCACTGACCAGTAGATGTGCACACCAGTCATTTGCAGCTACGATCGGGGTTCCATGTTCCAAAACAGAAGCTGGCACACTACAGCCACGTCCTGTTTCTATCAAGTCTTCCTGGGGCACAGCTCTGCTCCTCGGTTTACATACTGTCTGTGGCTCTTTCATGCTGCAACAGCACAGTCGGGACGCTCCGGCCCACAAAGCCTAAACTATGTACTGTCTGGCCCTTCACAAATGTTGGCAAACCCCTACTAGAACTGCTCTGAGCTTTCCTACCTTTATTTCCGTAAATCCTACAGCCTAAAGCCTAGACTTTGGTTAAATAAACCATGGAACATCAATACAGTGAAATATTGTTCAATCAATACAAATGATGTTTACTGAGAGTTTCTAACAGTCTAGGACAAATTTATTATAATGCTGATAATTAAGTATACGAAACTATAAATTTAGTCTGATTATATCCATGTAAAAATGTACACCATCGATAGGCAATACACCAAAAAGTTAACCCTAATTATGGTAAAGATGGAAGAATCTTGGATAATGTTTTTTCGTTTCACCTTTAGTAAATTTTCTATAAAGAATATATACTCTGCTTTTAATTGGAAAATACTAAGTTGACTTTAATTGAAAAAAACAAAACCGTAACCCTAAAAATGTAAGTAAGTACTGCCTGACAAACGGTTCCCTTTTCTGTTTTAAAGGAGCTAATGTTTTTTTATCAGCTGTTACAGAGAAGGGCACATTTCACTTGACAATTCCTCCAGGGAGTATAGTTCATGGCCACTCCCAGGCTCAGGTCGCCTCAGCAGAACAGTCTGTTCAACCCAATTTCAACACCTCACTATGGCAGAAAGTGGTTCACCGTAAAAGTCTACCAGCCTGGGACACTGCTTAACTGTTAAGGCAGTGGGACCTGATGACCATCACCTGCAACTGTGGCACAGTGATTTTAAAGTCCACCTTATGGTAACCACATTAACTTGATTTGTTTTTACTGTGCTTCCCACTAAATGCTTACTTTTAAAAATTCAGTTATACCCTAACTCCCAGAAGGATTTTCAGGGAGCTACTGCGTGAAGCATCATGTCCTGGTGGAGGGAAAGCCCACTCCCAAATCAGGTGGCAGGCCTATACCAGCACTGAGGGTCATCTGGCCTCTGTGTGAGAGCGGAAGCCATAGGGGCACAGAGCTCTGAGGGAAGGGGTGCCAGGCCCTTCCTGACTCGAGGTGGGGGAAGAGAGGGCGGAGGGACAGGGTCAGGAGATGGACGCCCACTGGCTGCAACACCTGGTAGCAGGGGCCCTGGGGGTAGGGGGCAGCAGCTGAGATCTCACTTCAGGCGCCTTGCAGCTTCCTCTCTCCCTCCCTCCCTTCACCTCCAGTCATCTGCCTGGAAATACGCATGCCAGTAAGGTCCCAGCAGATAAGGCCCAGCTGGGTGGGGCCCTGAGCAGACACACAGTGTCAATTCTGGACTGGGCTGCACCGAAGCAGAAAGGGCAGGAAGTCCAGAGGGCAAGGAGGGCAACAAGCGGGGACAAGGCTTGCTCCTCAGGACGCGCCACGGTGCATCTGGGGAGCTCCTGCCTCCAGGCCCCGGCCATGCCCCCCTTCCTGCTTCCGTCTGACCAGACCACAACTACACTGCTGAGATAAAGGCCAGTGATGGCCAGGGTCACCCCATCACTGCGAGGGTCATGCTCCTGAAACACTATCTCACTGAGTCGTCCCCCCACATAAACACCATGGGGGTTCTCCCTGGCCAGGCTTAGAAGTCCAGGTCGTCGGCCCAGCGGTCAGAGTCCCCCAAACTGGCCTTGGTCCACCCTCTGCCCTCACTCAGGCCCTCTGGGTGCCTCCCTCTCTAGCTGGGCTGATGTGCCTGCTCTTCTCAAACCTGTGCCCTGCCTGTGCAGCTGCTTGTGCTGTGTGCCACGTGTCTGCGGGGCATCTCCACGCCCCTCCAACTCCCACAGCCCGCGGCTCCAAGTCAAGTGCATCCCCTCCAAGAAGCTTTCCCTGACCCCGCTGGCCCCAAGGGGTCTCGTCCTCGGGGGTCACGGTGGCCGTGGTGCCGTGAACACCTTCAGTTCTGGATCATGTGCTGCCTGAAATGTCCAGGTTTCCTCTGCCTGGCGTAAAGCGCCCATTTTAGAACTAATGTTCAAGCCACATCTTACCTTAACTAGACTCTACATTTTTGAAGGCAACACAACTCCTTGCATCTCCTACAGTGCTTGGAGTAGGTTTTAAGTACACAGTTGGTATTTAGTAAATCAGTTCTTGGATGATGGATAAAATGAGTGAAGTCCTGAGTCATCTGGACCACAGACCACCCTGGGGTCCTGTTAAAAAGCCCTCATCAATCTTTTCTGACAGCAATCAAACAGATAGCTAAGAAGAAAAGCTCACAAACTGTAATGAATAAAAAGACCCATGTCAAGAAGAACTGCCCCCACAAGGAGACAAATGACTCGGGGCAGAGAGCAGCTCAGAAACGGGGCTTCTGAGCGTCTTCCTTCAGCTAAGTTGCTGTGCCAAGCACACCCTCAACCCGAGGTCTTTCGCCTTCTTTCCAATTCTGGGGACGTGCCACGCAGACCTTCAGGAACACTCCCCCGCGCCACCCTCCTCCTTCCCGGCGAATGGGGCCGCCCCTCCCCGTCTTTCCTTCCTTCCGGTCTTCTATCTCCACCCCTGCCGCCTCCTGGGCTCCTCGCCTCGGTGCATCAACACAGGGCGCAGCCACCTACCCCGCCTCAAACCCCACCTACTGCGCTCCCTCTCTCCCCTGGCTTCCACCTGGTCCTCCCCCAGCCTCACCTCCTGCTCCCATGTCTCCCACCTTCACCTCCACGAGGTGTGGACCACACGTGCTTGCCAGCCCTGCTTGCACACGTGCGGTTCAGCCCTCCTGTGGCGTCTGCACCCTTGGGTGTCTACTTTCCAGGGGCAGTGGGCAGGGCCCTGGGCCAGCCCCGGTCTGTGCCAGCTGGGGGACACTGCTGATCACCCCGCTGCCAGCCCTCTCCAGACAGCTCCTCTCCTCCTCCTAATCTCCCAGGGGTGTGCCACACTGGCAGAGGCCTCTTCCTGGGGGCGATCCACCGTCCCGGGATTTGGGAGGACTTGGTGGGGGAGCTGAAGGCTAAGGGGAGCTGCTCGGGCCGCCCCGCATCGCTAACTCCTCACTGGGGTCTGGGGCTGACCGGCAATGTCACCGCAGAGGCAAAGCTGTCCAAGTTTGCGTCCAATCAAGCAGCTCTGAGCAGCCTCAGCCCCGCCCCGCCCGGCCCGCCCCGCCCCGGCGCCCTCCCCCCCAGGGGCTCCCCAGCGGCTCTGCGTGGCCAGCCACCTGAGTGCACACTGGCCTTGGACGTGTTCCCAGGATTTGGGGGAGGCAACAAGCGCCTGAATTTGTGTTGTCGGGTCATCCTGCCTGGAAGCTCGGGGAAGCGGCCCCCGCAGGGCAGGGCCTCCCCCGGGGCCGCACGGCTCTGCACCTCGCTGGAGATGTGTTTACCTACCAGCCGGTTAACAGCTACTACACACAAGCTTTTCCACAAAACAAGGCTGGAGAAGCCGATGTTAAAGAGCGGCAGGGTGGTCTAGGGGGGAGACCGGATCTGGAGGCGGGAAGCGGGCATGTCTCACTGTGAGCCAGGCCACGGGGCAGGGTCCTCACGGTTCTGGAGTAGCCACATGCGGAAGGGCCCTGGGCTTCTAAAAAGAATGGCGGTGGGAAGAACCGTGATTTTTCTCACTGCTAAGAATAAAAGGAAGATGATACTTCAACTGGAGCAAGGAAATACTTCTCCTTTCATGACAGCCTTTCTGTTGTCAAAAACGAAGTCTGCTTTCCAGTTCAACCGCCCTCGGCACCCTCTACGGCCGCACCCGCAGCAAACAAAGATGCGGACGGTTCGTGGACATCACGGAGTGGCGCACCACGCAGGCGGCTGGCCCCGGAGGGAGAGGGCGGCCTCAACTCCCTAAGAGTGCAGGTCAGGCGTCGGGGCCCCGAACCCACGGTGCAAAGCCCAAAGCCCCAGGAGCGCGGGCTCACTGGGACGCAGCAGGCGCCACTTACCAGCGCAGGGCGGTTTTGATGGGGGTGGTGAGGCAGGCCGTGAACAGGTCGGCCGGGAGGTCGGGCATCATGGGCAGGAGCTCGCTGGCCTCGCAGGCCGCCAGCTGGATGCAGTTCTTCATGGACGGGGGCAGAGGCATCTGGGCGAGGGGATGGTTCGGGTTGATCGCAGCGACCTGCCGGGAGACGTTAGGAACAGAGCTCTCAGCCGCTGTGCGCACCCGGAGGGCACGGGGGACATGCAGCGCTGACGGGAAGACCAGGCAGCTGAAGCCTCGAGCTCGGGGGGTTCCCTCCAAGTCCCCCCAGGAGGGGCGCCGCTGCCGGGCCCTCCCCTGGAGGGGGCCCAGCCCTCACTACCAGGCCCCCTCCGACCACACGCGCTTGGTCCCCGCCGGACCAGTTCCCCGGTGGTGTTCCTGCCGCGGCCCTTCCTTCCTTGGTGACTGTACCACCACTGCCCACACTCGTTTCCCTCCAGGTCTCTGCTGGGGTCTTAGTGCTAATTTAAAATTCAGTCTCTAACCCAGCCTAACCTTACTGTGGTGTGCTTGGTGACATGGGACGGTGCTCGGGGTGCAGGAGGTCACCACCACCACGACCACCAAAACGCGGATGGCAAAATCTCGGTGTGGGCACCCCTGATCCTGATCCTTCACACCGGGACGACTGGAGGCACACGGAGGGCCCCGGGGTGACTTCCTCCCTCGCTTCGTCACCCGATATCTCTAAGTGTCCTACAAACAAATGGGCATTAACTTTGTGATCAGGGAGAAAGTTTTTTCCTTAAATACGACCATTTCTCTTAAAGCAGGCAAGCAATACTTGCTCGTGGTCCCCAGTGAGACTCCGGGAAGGGCGCCGGGCGTGGGGCTGACAGTGCACGAAGTTTCAGGAGGGCAGGCACCCAGCTAATTATTGTGCACGGTGAGGGTGCACACGAAACCTTATTTTTGACTGAATGAAACCTAATTAAAAGTGTAAATTTTTGAAAAGAAATAACACAATGCATACAAAAAGTGTTTTTTAAATCACAGGACTGCCAGAATCATGACTTCACTGTGCCCTTATAAAAACAGCAGCATTCGGCGACACCAGGGCCCGGAGGAGCGGGTTTTCCCCCCCTCCCCTGCGCATGCGCGGAGCAGATGCACGGCCCTGTACTCCACGCAGCTGGGCTGCTGTCTGCAGAAACCCCAAGGTGTGCGAGAACCCCGCGTGCGGAGCCCGGCCGCGGCCCTGGCCCTCGGGCGCTGTCACCGGGGCCTCTCGGTAACACCGTTCAGAGGCTGAGGAGCCGAGTGGCCGGCGCCTGTGACGAGGTTCACAGGACCCCTGTGGCTGCGTGCCACTCCGGCTGGTAAAATGTGCCAGGCTGCGGGAGGCCTCGTGTGTGCACGCTGCTCCGCCTGCTCCTGGCAACAGCTGGGAAGAACAGAATGGGCACCGCCGCGCCGATGAACCGCCTCCAGCAGGGAACCGGGGTGGCGGCGCTCGGCCACGCGGCGGTGAGCTGCCGGGGGCGGCACACGGGAGACAGGGAGGCCGGTCCGGAGGCAGCGCGGGTCTGAACACCCCCGACCCACACCCCCTGCCGACACCCCCTGGGGGAGGAGGAGGCTGGGGAGAGAGGGGTGGACACTGCAAGAGGTGGACAGGCGCAGAGGCCCCTTTCCTGTGCTCTATGTGCCCTGACTTAGGACTTGCCCCAAATTAAGATACTCGAGAACACTGGTTATGCAGGTCCGCACAACCTTGAGGACACTGTCATTCACTCGCCAAATACCCACCACTTGGCCATAAGGGACAGCGGTTTACCAGGGCCCCTGTAACCCAGCCCACCTCGGTTAGGGATCTGGCATAACACAGCTTCATCTCAAACCTCGTTAAGGTGAAGTTTAATGACTGAACACATCTCTTCCCAATGCAGTTCTATTCATCAGGCCAGCAGCCGCCCGGATCCGGTGAATCACGTTACAGCTGCCGGTTACTCGGCTCCAGAGCCTCTGAAAGGTGTTACTGAGCAACTCCTCGGATCACGATGCCCAAGGGGCAGGGCTGCTTCCCAAGCAGGCTGCAGCCGGGCTCCAGAGCATGTGCTGAACGTGGGAGGGGGCAGTCGCACCTCAGAGGCCAGAATGGGTCAGGGGGATGTGATTTTGTCACTGACTGTGACAGATCTGTTTCATGATTTGAAAAGAATGTTTACCGATCTCGGTTAGCTCCTCACTGACAGTCCCTTCTGTTTGCACAGCAGCTGGTATTTTTCAAAGCTCTTCACACTGACAATTTCATTTGCTTTACCACATCCTCAGGAGGTAAGTTGGTCAGCAGGTGCGTCCAGAGCCGAAGGCTGCTCCCGACCTCAGGGCGGCTTCCACTCTCACCCCATCTGCGCCCTCCCGCATCTATACCCAGCACCTGTGACGTCACATGGGTGCTTTGCGGGCACCCCTGCACGTAAAGCTGCACTCACTTATAAAAATCGGATGCACCAATTATGACACATGAAGTGTAATTATTACTGCTGATAAAAAACCTTGTTTTTAACAACTCAGTTTCTCAAATGGAAGGTAGCAATGGTTGCAGTTTTATTAACAACCCCATACGATGGCAGGAATGTCAAGCCCCAAATACAAATCAAATTCTAGTATACTGAATAATAAATAAAATTTGAACTTTTGAATTAAAAATGCAATTTAAGGATTTTTCTAATTGTGGTAAAACATACATAAAATCTGCCACTTCAGCCATTTCACGTGTACGGTTCAGTGGCATTAAGCACATTCACACGGCACACCCACCACCAGAGAGTGGGTTCTGAAAGCAAAGAGAAAAAGGACGGCAGAATCCTGCTTAAAATCCTCTCCTAGACTCTCTCTCTAGAAGCCAGAACTGCGCCGGCGGGCAAGCTGCCCCACCCAGATCAGCCCGGGTCTGCCGCGACGAGCCCGCCCGGGACGACGGGCCTGGGTGCTTGACAGACCTGAGTCACGCGGCAGGACGCGCGGGGGCGGCAGCACCACGCGTGGCACCAGAGGACGCAGGCATGGCGATGCAACCACGGCCCCAGTGGGCACGGGTGACAACAGCGGACAGAGGATGAAAGGCAACGACTTAAGGAGGGAGAAACAGCCATCGATATAAAAGCTGCGTTCAATGTTCTTGTGCTCCTTTTCAAAGACAGATGCATTTTCATGGCAGAAATATCGGTGTGGCTTACTGGTTGTAGCTTTGCTGTTCACAACCTGCTTCCACGTTCGATTCTCTTTCTAACAGTGCAGAGAACAGAAAGCCAGTCTCCGGCCACTGACCCTAAACACTGTAGCTATCCCACCTCTGCTTTCTAGGGGTCTTCTAAAACCTAACACCCCTCAGCAGTGAGGCGGTGTGTCACATCGAGGCCACCCTCAGGGTGGACACAGGCCCCCAGCGAGCCGGTTTCCTCAGGCACAGGCGGCCCGTCAGAAGGTGGTGGGTTTCAGAGGACCTCCTTAGGGGTCAAGATGAAGAAGTGCATCCCCTCTGGCCGAGCAAGCTCCCGTAGTCCCAACAGAGCCATGTGGTGCTGACGAGTGGCAAGCTTACTCGGTACCTCTGCGCGTGCTGTCCCCAAATCTACACCTGGAGTCCACCAGCACTAGGGCCAAAGGCTGGCGAAGCACCTGGGGCACAGGAGACACTCCGAGAATGCTGAGCGAGGAAATGAACGGGTAGATGTTCAAACATCTTTATCCCAAAGAAGTCTACCAGAAACTATAAGTTTCCCAATTCTAAATGAACTTTGATAGAAACCCCAGCAACTTAATAAGCCCCTGCAGTACGCCGGTGTGCAGACAAGAAGCAGGACGTCCCGCTGCAGACAGTCCGATGCATGGACCTGCCATCTCGTGTTCAGAAAGAGGCCTGCCAAGGTTAATTCTCTCCTTCCACGGCACCCCTGGGCACACAGAAGCAGGAGAGCTCTGCTTTGGGGGTAATTAGTGCCAGTAACACTGAAAAAATGACATTCAAGGCAAAGGATTCCACCAAGGAATCATTACTTTTCAGGCTTGCTAACTCAGAAAAACAAAAAAATCTGTTTTAATGGATGAGTTATTTCCCATCCATTGTTTTGGCTTTGTATTTATCTAAATATGCTGACCTTTTAACTGAAATTATTCTTTGGAAACAGCCTGCATGTCAGGCTAACCACCGATTCACAGAACTCTGAAAAGCACCGAGGAGTAGAAGTGAATGGTTCCGGCTGGCAACACCCCTTGTCCTAAGATGTCCTTCCTCCCACCAAGGTTTCTCCTAGAAAACGGAGAGACTCCAATATCAGAAAAACTTTCAACTTTAAAAGCTCACTAGAGCCTTCTGGAGGATTTGGGAAGGATCCAGAAAAATCTTCAGATGTGACACACAGCAACCGGATCCAAAATCGGCATCTGCTGCACCGTCCACACGTGTGGTGACATGGAGCCCTGGTGCTCAGAGGTATGGGGACAGCCTGCCAGGCGGAACCGCACACGAAGCCTGAGGCCTGGTCCGAGCAGAACGTACTGCTCTTAGGGGCCGCGGGCACCTTCATTTCTCATTTTCTAAATTAAACTGACAACAAGCTGCCGTCTCCCCCTATCCAGCTATGTCTACATCTGTGAGGCATCTTTATGAAGAGAAAGCAGTGAGTCTTCAGCAAGTGCATCTCTGAAAATAACATCTACTTGGTAACAATGCCAGTTCTAGCTTAAAGCAACTTTTGTTCTCAATTCAACACCTATTATAATGCACATTTTGTAAAGTTCAGAAAGAAACTGAGATTTGTAAGGGAATCAGTGTATTGCTTACCGAGCTCATTCCAAAGATATTAACGGACCACCTATTACGTGACAGATACCACACTAAAAGCAGCAGATATGAAGTGGAAGCTGTAATTTTAAAAGAGTCTTTATATAGTTTTACATATGTCAAATACTAAGTATTGATTTAAAAACCAAGTGGTATCTGTTGCTGGGAAACATGAAACTTAGGCCGAGAGAGCAGAAGGATCACATACGTCAGGTGAAGACCTGTAATGACGGCGAGAAGCCCCTCAGTGTGGCCCACCAAGGGCAGGCAAAGAGCCTCTTTACAGCAACTGTTTGTCACGATTATCCTGAGAGTTTACCCAAATGGACCACCCACTGTTTGAAAG